TCGTGCCCGCAGGGCACTGCAGCTTTTCTATGATGGTTCTTCTGGCCCTAGCCTTGATCTTTTGGAAAAAATACCTGGTCATACGCTCGCCTTGACTCGGTTCCCGTGCCCTCGCCCTTAAACGGAGCCCATTCATCTACCATTTTTGCCATGCCGCCAGCTCTTGCCTTGCCTCATCTAAGGCCTGCTCATATATCGGGTTATCGGGACAGTCAAGTATATTCCTCTCAGCTATCCTTGCCGCTGCCTGCAGATTGTGCAGCCTCTCCGTTCTTTTGGCAGCCAAGATCCGAGAGGCCTTTGAAGCGCTTTGGGACAGCCTGTCCACCAGGTCCGGAAAGGTCTCTGCAGCTCAGTCTTGCTCGAAACATGCTTCCACGACTGCCTCCCTCATGATGTTGGTGTTCAGTAACGAGTTGTTGATCTTGAAGAAGCTTCTGCCCCTGTTTGGGGTGTCCCTTAGCGACAGCGAGAGGGGGACAAACTTGTGTTCCAGTCCCGAGAAAGCCGGGAGGGCTCCCACTCCCGTCGAGTGGACCGCTGGCATCAGGGAGTTGGAAATTAGAAAGTAGTCGATCCTTGAGACCGAAAGATGTCGAGTCCTTTTGTGCTTGGCATAGGTGAAAACTCTATCCTCGGGTTGTAGCGTTCGAAAGGAGTCTATCAGGTCCTTTTCTACCATAAGTCATGTATTGGTAATGTCTCGGCGTCCGCCGACCCGGTGGCGCCAGGGACCCCTGTTCTCAGCCTGTCCCACCGCAGGTCGACGACCGTGTTCCAGTTCCCCGCAAAGATCAAGTGGGCTTGCATACCGTACACGGGAGAAATATGCTCCAAGAAGGCCCGATTCTGCGCTGCTGGCCCGTGACAATAAAGAGAAAGCACCCAAAAATCTTCGTCAGCGATTGCCCCTCTCTTCGATCCGCGGTCATCCTCACTTGAGCCATTCTCTGTGCCGCACGCGGTCTGGCGTGCAGCAGGATTGCCATGCCCGCGGAGCCCGGCCTCGGGGCTGGGGCCCAGGTGGCCACTCTTACCCACCGCAGTCTTCGCTCAATCTCTCTCTGAACTGCTGTGTGATCAGAGGAATCCGTGAGGTGGGTCTCTTGGATGCAAAGGATATCCGGCGGGGCGGGGGCAAACCAGTCCACATCCCGCACAATGGTGTCCCACTTGTCTTGATTGTCGAGCACCATACCCAGGCCGCACATTCCAGGATGCTATGTGTAGATCCATCAGTATCGACGCTCTAGGTCCCTTTGCTACCTCCAGCTCTCGCGCTCTCAACAGACTGCCTCGCTTTAGCGGCCTAGGTTTTGAGCAGTTCCGCATCACCCTTCTCCAGCAGGGCCTGCAGTCTCCTTTCCAAGTTGGTCTTGTCGGCCAAGAATAACCTGTGGGCCGTGATCAGTGCTGCCGCCTTCGCAGCCCTTTCGGGGGCCATTTCCTCGGTTAGCAGGCCGTACGGGACTGCTTCTATCACCTCCCATGGCATCCATGCTAGTTGATCAGTCAGTTCTGCACCCTCTGCCACTTGTACCATCATGGCCCTGTAGTCAGAGAGGCAGCTCCTGCCTTCTTGGTCTGTTCATCTTTCCATTCCCTGTCCTCTCGAGCCCACTGCAAAGGGTGTGATGCAAGTGCCGTGGATTTTGATATTGTCGTGTACGATATCCTGTCTTTGTAGTAAGAAGCTGGCCAGTTTTTGTAACAGCCACATCCCAATCCCCAAATTTGGTGTTCCATCGGAAGGGGGGGAGTTCGCTTCTCGTTTCGCCTCTCTTTGCTTCCTGCGCCGGTGGTGCGTCGATGTCTTTGTCCGGCGCTTCTTCTATCTCGGCTATGGAGATGTGCTTGTTTGCCAGCTCATTGTTCTTCCCCTTTAGAGCCGCAATCTGCGCCTCCGGGACCCTTTTCTGGATTTTTAGGTCCTTCATGCATTGGGCTGGCGAGAGGCCAGTCTCTACCGCCTCCTTTCTCTTACCTGATTCTGCGTACTCCTGCCTGGTCACCCGTCACTTACGTCTGTAGGTTCTAGTCACCACCTCCTCTCTCCCGGCGTACTTGGTGGGCCGGTCCACCCATAGAGCTTCTCATACTTGTTATGATCGACCTCTATGTTGTCGCCCTCTGTGCAAGTCTTGAGGCCATACTGCTGGGCATAAAAGTGAGATAACTCCTGCTCTTTTCTGAGAATCTCGAAGCGATTCTCCGTTCCCAGGGCAGCAACGCTTCATCGCCCTCCTGTTTTTGCAGCACCCATTTTATGCTGGTATCTGTGGAACGCCATGTTTACCTCGAATTCGACGCGTCGCACTCTCTCTAGGCCGGCCACAGCATTCTCTAACCATTCGAGGGTGTCTTCCTCTTGCTGGTGTCGTTGTGGAGTTGCCTCACTTGGCGCTGCGTTGTCCCCTTCTTCCCCTTCCTCCAGCCTACGCTTCCGAGTACCTCCGTTTTTCTTCATTTGTGGGTCTATCTCCATGCAGGGAGTCCCTCCGGGTTGCTGATTTCGCCGTGCCCAATGTTTCCAGCCCCTCGACCGCTCACACTGTCAGCAGATTGGTGTCCTTGTGGAGTCACCTCACTTGGCGGTGCGTTGTCCCCTTCTTCCCCTTCCTCCAGCCTACGCTTCCGAGTACCTCCGTTTTCCTTCATTTGTGGGTCTATCTCCATGGGTTGACGATTTCGCCGTGCCCAATGTTTCCAGCCCCTCGACCGCTCGCACTGTCAGCAGATCATGACTTTTCTCTTTTGTTATTTTTTGTAAAATTTCATTTCTCCATTTATGCGTGTCATGCTCACACAGGGGCCATCCTAATCTTCTCCTTATTGTTCCATTGTTAAACCACCAGTACACGGCTCACATCGGCCGCCAATTTATTTTATTGACGGCGGCTGCCAATTTATTTTATCGACGCGGGGCGCCAATTTATTTTATCGATGGCGTGCGGGCGGCGACTGTTTCGGACCCTGGCGATGAAACGTTTTCAGCAAGGCTGGGGCCGTGCATTTGCGGTTTAACGGACGTCCCAAAGGACCAGATCATAAGTTCAATTCTTTTTATTTTATTTTATTTGAATCCCAACGGAATCAAACTTTCAAATGGATTCAGGGCCTGGCTCTACCACTCACCAAATGTGCAAAACGAGAATGTATCGTCCGCCAGAACATGGAAAGATACACCACCATAATTTTTGTCTTTTTGTGTATGTGGTGACTGGTCGAGTGAGGCCCTCAATAATGATATAAGAAGGAACAGAGAATGTGGAAAAAGGGAGGGGACCAGTTGTTGTTGCTTCTAGGAAAGCGACTAACAATAATAAGGTCTAGCATCTGACTGAAAACCTGAGGGTATGGAAGTCGCCGGCGACAGGGTGTGATTGGAACAGTCTCTGGGCATCCATGTCCTCTGGGAGAAAGCAGATGAGTTCACCTCATTGGAGTTGGGATGCAGCGCACTATGGTCTTCAGACAAGACAAAAAAAGGCAGGCCAAGGTACGACACAGTGAGCAGCGGGCCTTAGCATGCGTGAGTGCCGGCAGCGAGTAAGGCAGCCAGCACATGGAAGCAACAGCGCTAATGGTGCTCTGTGAGCACGTGGGCACACCATAGCAGGGGCTGGGGGGAGCCGCAGTGCAAAGAAGGCTTGCGAGGGAGGAGGGGGAGTCCTTGGGAGAGGAGGAAGGCTCTGTGAACAGGGGGATGCTTACCTGCTGTATCAATGAGGAGGCACCTATGTGATTAGACTCTTCAGCGGCATCTGGCAAGACACTGCGATTCCGTCAGAGCAGAGATTTTTCTTTCCTTTTCTTTTCTTTTTTTTTTTTCCTTTTTTTTTTTTTGTTATTTAAACAGGCCCTTATGGTCCTGGCTCCATTTCCATTCTGGGGAGCATCAGTCCGGTTCCTATTCCACTGGCAAGTCAGAATTACAGGATACATCGTAAGTACTCACCCACACTCCCTTCCGTCCGGCCGAAGGACCCCTGACCGGCATTGATTGCTCCAACATCGTGGAGGATTGACTGTCAGCTTGCCCTGTTTCATCCTTTCCTCTCAGGTCTACTGCGAAAACCTGTCGTATAAAGCATGACTAGCGAGAAAGGTCCTAGAAGCTGCCAAAGCTGCCAATTTTGTCTAAACTGTAAATCTCCCATGTGAGAGAGAGATTTTTCTTTTGAACGAAATTGGGCTTTGATGAAAAGGCCAAAAAACTGCCAAAAATTCTCTTCTGAGGGTATGTCGGACCCTTTCAAAAGTCAGATGTATCGGGCCTGATTGCAGTCCAGAGGATGCTGGACCCTCCAAAAAGAATTTTGGGCGTCTTTTTTTGGGCTTTTCAATGAAGCCCCCCCAAAAAAATCCCCGTTTTGATGAAGTGGCAGTTAAGAAGGGGGGGAGAGAGAGAGAGAGAGAGAGAGAGAGAGAGAGAGAGAGAGAGAGAGAGAGAGAGAGAGAGAGAGAGAGAGAGAGAGAGAGAGAGAAGGTTAGATGATAGGCTAGACTGGGGGATTAGTGTAGGGGGTCAAATCATAGATTAGGGATACTACTCTGTCGTTGTATTGATTGAGTGCATGCGTGAAGAGGGCATTTATTATCAAGAGACTTCAGTGTTCGGGGTGTTCTTGCATTGGTCTGGTCTTGGCCTTGTCAATTGCGCCTCCAGTTCGGCCTACTCCTCGGTAGTCTTCAATGCATTCTTGCTGCTCAACTCGAGAAAGTTTTGTGTTCTCCCATGCTGGCTCCTTGAGTCCTTGCATACCTTTTTCATGTGTCAGATTTGACCTGGATAGGTACTTCCAAGCTGGGACTCAAAGGGCATAGTTTTACAATTGGAGTTTGGGATTCCGGAACGTATCTGGTCTCAATCGCTGCCAAAAAAAATCACTCAAAAAGATCCTACTGTGTGTATGCCCTTACCTATGGCCATTACGTTGTTGTTTGACTTGTTGTTGTTGTTGCTGCTGTTGCTTAACTTTCTTCGTTGTAATACTCAGGACCATCACAATTTCAGTTCACGGCATGGTGGAGGGGAGGGATTCAAAAGTGTTTCAGGAGCGGAAAGGAGAGAGAAGCTGCATGGTGTACGGAAGATCGGCGCGTGTCGGCAACAGTACCGGGGTGGTGCGTTGCGTGGTGCGGATGGGGACACAGAAAGCCCTTTCAAGGTTGTTCGACAGCAGGATGGAAGTGGGGGAGGTGGAGGGGGATTTCGAATCGAAGGGGCTGCGGAGAAGCATCTTAGCAGTCTGAGTGGTGGCTCGGCCAAATGGAGGGCACACCTGCAGGTCAGGATTCCTTTTTTTTTTTTTTTTTTTTTGTTGAACATCGGCGACGGGTTGTGCAGGGGGTGGTGATAAGAGCAGACACCTGCTCTACGGTTCCCGCCCTCGGATGGCTCTGTTGAGTCAGTTCCATTGGTGGGGGATCTGCTTCTGCAGGAAAACGGGTCCAGTGTCCCTTTGCATCATAACAAGGAGCCAGAGTTACATGTTATACATGCAGTTATGTCAATTTATATGTGATGAGCAGCATTGATTGCCCTCTCGCAAGGGGATTGTTGACTGCCGATCTACCTCAGAGGCAGGACTAATGCCTATCTTCACCCGCTGTTACGAGTATCTTCTACTCCTACTGCGCCGGCGCACTGAGTCTCTACCCTGCCCCTGCCACGTGGCGGAAGCCAAGCCGTCGCTCACCCTTCCTTCCGCAAGACTAGAGCGTCCCCGAGCCCCTCCCACCCAGAGAATCTACTGCATTGCCCCTTCCAGGAGTTACCTACAAGCATCTTCTCCGCAGTCCATACCTCCGTACATCATATGTCTATTACTCCTGAGTCCTGAGGGTGAAGTATATGCGGACACATAGCTGTCTTCGTCAGCGCCTCAACTTCGCCTCAGGAGGTTATTGCTCTAGTCATCTCACCTGGCCAGCATGTCAGGAGAGGAAGGCAAAGAGACCCCCCCCTGTGGCCAAGCTTCCACTGTCATGCTGTTCTGATCAATGAAGGGGAAAAGGAGAATTTTCATTGTGCTTCGCTCCCATACCCCCGTTGATCCTTGCTCCTGAACTTTCTTATTATATCTGGAATCTTGTCGTTTGCTGCACAAAACGGCCATCCCTCCAGGGAAACCGACGTGGCAGAGGTCCAGGTCACATCCCTGCTATTTTCTAATTAGGCCTCGCCACACAGCAAAGGGAAGAGAGTTATCTGTCGAGGGAGTGACCAACCCCAACGCCCAAATCAATCAACGTCTCTATATCAGGGGGCAGTTCTTTTGGTCCCCCCTCAATCCCTTCCCCCTATCTGATACCTAACCTCGCCATCACCGCCCCCATCGTGTGCAACTTCCAACTTCCCTGCAGGGGGCAACCCGAAAAAGCTCCGAAAGAGACAAAACCAGGAACGCTCCCTAAAAGTCGTCACGTTCCTGAGATCCCAGGAGATCCAGAGGAACCCCCCTCCCCCAAATACGGCAGGTGTGGTACACTTACCGCTCAATCCCTTCGAAACGCTTACAACGTGCACCACTGGGATGGCCACTTCCCCTACACGCCTGTCAATACTCGCCCGCAGAGAAAGGGGCTGGCAAACCTGAGCAACCAGGAATCCCTTGATGCCCACCATATCCATCGTCTGGGAGGCATCTTCGTTCATCATGCCGTATAGTTGGCGTCGTCCCTCGGTTGCATCCAGCTCCTGAAGTTTCCAATCATTTATGAGGTTGTGCCTCTGCTCACTGCAGCGACCCTTATTCTTCGTGCATCTAGACTTCTGAAAGACCTGCCCATCCATCTTAAGTTCTTAACAACGGCCGGGTCCCTGCCATCCAGCCATTGTATTGCAATCGGGCGAGCAACAGCCCATTGTGAGCTGTGGACACTGATTGCAGCCCGTCGTTCCGCAAAGATTATCTGAAGCTTCTCCAGCAGCGTGAGGCACTCTTCCACACCGTCCACCACCCGCTCGTCATTGAAGCTGTCTTGTCATTGTGAGGAGACATTTGTTAGCAGTTCGTCCGTCCATCCATCAAAAGTCTCCTCCGCCTTCCGGAGAATCTCCAGCGTCAGGCTATCAAATGATTGGAGCATCGTCTCGATCGCCTCTTCCATTTGTCGCTTGTAAATACTCACGATCTCTGCTGCCGCCGCTGTGTCCATCCACGCCGCCGAAGAGGTTATCTCTTGGCCTGCAGGGTGCTGCGGGTCAGGAGGGTTGCCCTGCGCACCCTCGTTGTTCATGATCCCTTTCTCCATAATCATTGCTCCTCCACTCCTCCCTATCTCTCTCGTTGTTGTTGCTGGGTCTCCACTGTTGTCTCCAGCTTGGTTATCTCGTTCTCCAATGTCGTTGAAATGCTCCCCGGTGAGAAGGCGCCGACGTCACCGCATCTCGCGTGGTCCACATGGCTTTGCCACTCCGACCCTTGGTGGGCGGGGAGCGTGGATGCCCATGCTCCAGGGCAATGGTCAGCCAAAATGGCCACCGTCACCCTGGTGCACATGTGGGTCCTGGCAGGCGGGCCCTGCCGACCACAGGCTGCGCAGCGCTAGCGCTCTTATCTTATTTTTTTAAAGGGTGGCGGCCTTGAGATGTCATCGTTGATGATTGAACCGACTGGCCCCAGGAGATTCAGAATTGTGTTATTCTGTTCTTGTTGTCGTCTGGATTTGGATTTCGGTCTGTATTTCAACAGTCGGTGGGTGTACCAACGAGCTACTACGCCTGCTGGTAGCAGGTCAGGATTCCATTTGTAGGCCAAAGGACATAAATAGCCCATTCAAGTTTGGAAGGACAGAAATAGCCTATTTAAGTTTCAAAGGAGAGAAATTACCAGCTTCCCCCAAACATAATACCATATTTGGTCATTATCGATATATCATGTATGTAGGGGGATTCAGGTAAAGCTATGATAATGGGCATGCCTTATGTTCGGGGGAAGAAAGTAGCCGGGCAAGAATATCATTATGAAGGTACGTGCACATCTGCGCTTTCACATGCATGACATGCAAAAGAAGCAGAGTGTTGAGCACTTGGGCATCTGCATGTCCAGGTGCATTCCGACTGGGCTAGTCAGGCATTTCTGAGCCTTAGCGGGCTGTTTAATATGTACTTTTTTCCTTTCATTTACTGAAGCCACATGTGCAGGTCAGGCAGGGGTTTCATTCTTTCCTTGTTGTATAATCATCATAATAATAGGAACATTGAACACTGGGGGCCTGGCTTGAGCTTTTTTTTTTTTTTTTGGGGGGGGGGGGGGGTGTGGTGCGCGCCAAGGGACTTGCTCGTCTCAAGTTCACTCTCACTCTCTCAACTGATGACAGAAACGGAAAATCATTTAACAAATTAACAAAGCAAATTCATTGAGTCAAAAGACTCAAAAACTGTTAGAAGTGTCAAAATGAAATCTTTTGCAATGAGAGCCCAAACTTCAATCAAGCATCTGATATTACAGTCAGACATTTTCACAAATTTTCAGCACATGAGAGTTGAGAGGCAACCACAAGATACTAAAATAGTAAAATCCAATATTTATTATTTTCCAGAAATCAAAGTCTCAATACAACAAATTTGTATACAAAAGCTGAGCGGCTACGCTACCACTGACAACAACCAAGAACTCTCTCTCTCTCTCTCTCTCTCTCTCTCTCTCTCTCTCTCTCTCTCTCTCTCTCTCTCTCTCTCTCTCTCTCTCTCTCTCTTTCGTTTCACTACCCTAGCTAAGCTATGGCGCTCAACACTGATTGACTACAACTACTTGCTCTGCGTTCGTGCAGCCGCACTCGTCGCTTGGTCGCACAAGATTGCACCAGCGCTTCGGCAGCAAGCACGAACGGAATTCGATGTTGACGTCAACTGCTGCTGTGCTTTTGTACTGGACAATTCAGTCTTCCCTCCGCTTGGACCCTTAGGACTGGTACCCAGTGGCCTGCTGGCCATGGACTTTCGGTCCTTGATGCTTCTAGAATGTTCACTGGCTCTCATATGACCCTGGGCACACAACAACAACAGCAACAAGATTTCACCTCATCGCAATTCTACACAACACATAGTTCTCAATTTTTTTAGAAGGTTTTTTTTTTTTTTTTTTTTTTTTGTGCTGGAGTTGCCCAGGAGCTGTGCATGTCCACTCCAAGACTCGAACACACAACCTACAGCTTGCGAAAAAAAACAAAACAAAACTACAGCTTACCAGACAAACCCCTAACCAATGGTCTAAGTGCGCTGGGGTGAAAGTGGAGACTGGTACCCCCCCGGTAGCCTGCTGGCCATGGACTCTCTCGGTCCTAATGCTTCTTTTCTTTTTTTTTTTAAACCACCAGTACCTTTGTCGGTTCGAAAATACTCGGCCTCTGACCTTTCAGGAGGCCGAAACGAAACGACGGCCGCCGATCAGATTTATCAACGGCGGACTCGGCCTCCTGAAAGTTCGGAGGTAGACCAAAACTTGTCAAAAATAGGCTCGGAGGTACTGCCGGTAGTGGTTTAAGAAAACAGAACCTTTTGGTTCTGGCTCCTACCATTCTGGGAGCGACAGTCCGGTTCCTATTCCCCCGGCAAGTCAATATGGAAAACATGGGAGACTCACCCCTGAGGAAGGATGTACCACCCCTCACCCCTGCCTAAGTTAGCCTGTGCTATTTGATCTGCCTGGCTGTTGCCAATCTGTCTGAACCCAGTCCCGCTCCTCTCAGCTGTGATGCTGTCGGGTTGGTGCATTGTGCTAGAGCGGTCTGGAACGCCTACGAGCCTCTTGAAATCTGTAACATCCTAAGCCCTGTATGCCTTGTTTCTGTCTAAACCTTAAACCCTAAACCCTCAAGCTAAAACCATGAACCCTCATTGACTGTAGTGTGTTTTTATGGTCTGTCCCTGTCAGAATTTTCTGTGTTGAAGCTATTGACAGAGCTGGGCACCGGGGGCCCAGAGCCGCACCCACCTGCACCCACCCGACCCACAGGGTGATGGGTCGGATTTAGGTCTACATGAGCTGTCTTGGGTGGGTTATTGGCGGGCGCAGCCAGCATGCCTTTCTGGGTGACGGGCGGTGAAGATTTGACCTGGGTCACCCGCTGGGTGGGTGGCAGGCGGGTGATGGCTTGGCCTGGGTCACCCAACCCATAGACCCAGGATGACCCGAAAATTATGCAACCCCCCTCCCCTTCCCCCCCCCCTCCCCCCTCCTTGTGTAGTACGTCGGGCTTGAGGTTGAGAGCCAAAGAAAAAAAGTGTCTGATTCAGTTGACCAGGTCCTGATGAAGTAACGCCGGTGCGAAAGCAGTGCAGCTGCCCCTGGGCAAAAAAAAAATCCTTGAAATATTTTCCTTTGAGAAGTCCGAGTCGCATTGTTGATGTTGCCGTTGTTTTAATAATAGGATTTTAGATGTCTTTGTTGCAATGCTATGTTGCCGATGAAATCAGGATGGTGTAAGGGACTGGCATGGGCAGGCACGGGCTGATGCGGGTGGGTGCGGGTGAAGAAAATTTAGGTATTGGACGCGGGCGGGTGATGATACTCTTACGGGTGCGGGCGGGTGTGGGTGAGGGCTTTTTTTCGGGTCACGGGCGGATCGGGCGTGGGGCTGAAATTTCAAAAAATATTTTGGGTGGCTGGGGTTGTCTAAAAGTAAAAAATAAAATTCTTGGGCCGGGTGGATGGGGATTTTTTTTTTTCAGGCGGGTTCGGTCGAGGGTGAGGAAAAAAAAAAATTGCCCACCTCTGGCTGTTGAATATGCCTATAGTCTCTATGTGGGGTAGTTTGGGTGGGGGGGTTGGTGACTGAGGGGGTCTGTGCGGTGGTGAAGGTTTTGTGATTCTGGGTCGATGGGCTTGGGGTTATGGGCTAGGGACGGGGGAGAGAGGATAAATGTGGTAAGGGAGGGACTGTGTTACCATTGGGGGGAACGGATTTTGTTGGAGTTGGGAATTTCTGAGAGGTGTAGGTGCACAATGTGGGGGATCTCAGGTAGTGTCCTCTTCTCATGTGATTAGTATGTCTGTGGGTGGGTTGGCTTGCCAATGGGGGTGTAATGGGGTGTAGGCTGCCCGTTGTTAGGGTTTTGTCCTTGGCTGGTTGATGAGGGCCAGATTAACCAATTAGAGAATTTTATTCTGTCTCGTTCGGTTGAGCCTAGTTTGCCGCTGCCTAGCTTGCCGATTGAGAATTGTTTGATACTTTCTTCTTTTTTGTCCGGAAGGATCTGGATGTGCTTTAGGTTTTTTTTCCATAGAGCAAGGATTTCTGTTTCAATTGTCTGTTTGATGGTAATTAGCGGAGTCTCTGAGGGGGTGTGGTGTTCGTTAAAGGTTAGATCATTAGATGGCAACACCTTTTCCATATTGCCCATAGGGTGCCCTTTCTGATTAGCGAGAAGAGGAAGTAGTCGAAAGACTCGAAACCTTTTAGAGTTGGGGATTGATCTGAGTGAAGGAGTATGGTAGAGGGGTTGATGAGTACGTTTCTATTGGATAGAGAATTCCATGAGAGTTCTATGTCTAGCCACAATGCTTCTAGAATGTTGTTCACTGACTTTCGTAGGACACCTGGGCTGCTGGCTTGCCCGCGACTGGACTGAACGCGTCACGGGACTCTGCCTCCAACCTACTGGAGTCCTACTAGACTTACCTAGTAACCTACTGTACCAAGGAAAAATGACGCACAGGACCCTGGAACTTTGGGACTGGCAACAGAACCGGACTCTGTGGGCCATGAAATCCTTGCACTTCCGCCTACCCGGTTTCGAGGCCCTCCGAGAAGGTTACTCCCCCCCGTTAGTGATTCAAATGCCGCTTTGCAATTGTTCGTAATGTGAGACTATCCCAGGAGCGGTTTCAGTCAGCTCAGCCTTCGTGAACCATCAATCATCTTCAGGTTCCTGATATTGGAACCGGACTTAATACGTCCTCGGCGGTCGCCCTCTCCGCGCTGATCTATAAATTTCCTCCTCAAGTATATGGTCTCTGTTATGTCTGCCATCCATGTTAGGTGGGATCATTCATCTTCTCAAGGGGAAGGTGGAGTCCGTCACATAGGGTAGTAGTCTACGAAGTCTCGACTCTAGAGGCATGGAAAAAGACTTGATAGGTTCACAAATGGTTAACGGGGACCCCCATTTTCAGGCCCTGGGTAACGAGTCCAAAACTGAAATTAGGGTTTCGGGGTCAAATTTTATCTCCGCTCTACGAATTGGTGGCAAGTTTGATTAAAATGACCCTTTGGTTTTCATATAAATGGCATGGAAAGTGGTCTGAAAATTCGGGTCTCCGTTAATCTTCTCGCGATAGGTTCCTAAGTTGGGTTGTTCATTAATGGCACAGGAGGAGGCACTGTCAACATCATCCAGCACATCCAAAAAAAGTTTCAAAAACTCCCCATGGTCCTCAAATATGCTAGTAGCAGTTTTCTGAGAGATCCCATCCCTTCTGTTGGCGCGAATTCCTTAGACTAACCCATACTAGCCTATTACTACGTCACCTAAAACTGGACTGTGACGGCCTTTTTTTTTTTTTTTTTTTTTTTTTTTTTTTTTTTTTTTTTTTTTTTTTAAGCCTTGTATTATTAATGAACTGTTCAATCGTTTTCTCCTGGGCATATCTGGTGTTCTCAGTGGCTTTCTTAAACCACCAGTAGTACATGGCCCCAGCCAAGTTGAGAATCACGAGTGAACCTCTCCGAAAAAAAAATTTCAGGCTCGGGGCAACCGGACCGGAATGACTGGCGGCACCAGCCAAATGTAAAACAAAAATGCCGCGCCGATGTCATGGCCAAGCTTGGCGCGTAGTGTGATTTCACCCCGTACAAAAGTGGCTCGGAAGTACTCGTGGTTTAAACCGCCAGTACATGGCCCCAGTCTTGCTGAGAAAGAAACTCGTCGCCTACGGAAATTTTTAGGAGGCTTGGCCTACCGGACCACGATGGCCGGCGGCGCCAGCCCAAAAAGAACAAACGTCCGCTGCTGGCGGTTCGGAAAAGCTTGGCGCGCTGTAACAGGCCTGCAGACCCGGGTGTGCTGGTGTTTTCAGGTCTTTCTAGTTCTTCAACGCAATTTTGCGGGTTCTGGGTGGCAATAAAATGCCAATACCAAGCGGCGGCTTCAAACCCACCATGTATCTGATTAGGATTCAAACAGTGTGTGGGTCTGTGAGGCTTTCACCTTTTGTGTAGTTCATTCCGAGTCCTAACAGGCGAGAGAGGCACTGAATTGCTGTGCGCGCTGGCTACCTTAGGCAATATGCTGGTAGCAGTTTTTGAGAAATCCCTTCTTTTGGTGGAAATTCCTTAGACTTAAGCCGTACTAGGTCGGCTGCAGTGAATGGTGATGGCCTTGTCTGCTTATTCGCCTGTGCAATCATTTTCTCCTGGGCATGTCACATTTTCTCTGTGGCTTTTTTAATGTCTTTCTCGTACGTCAGTGCAAATTCGTGGCTTCTGGGTGGCGGTCTCTGTATCTGATTAGGATTTGAACAGTCTGTAGGTCATGCGAGGTTTCCACCCTTTGTGCAGTTCCTTCCTAGTCCTGGCGTTCGAGCGATGCACTGAATTGTTATGTGCTCTGGCTACCTCAGGCAACAATAGCTCGCCCCACTTGAACTTCCTCTTGTCTAATGTACATGCATAAGGTTTGTTGCAGTTGCTTGTTCCTCTGTTCGCTCTGGCCATTTGTCTCTGGATATCCACCTGACGACATGGTTAGCTGAGAACCGCTGCTCGTCCGTGAATCTGACATCCGTTAATCTGACGTCTGTGAATCTGACATCTCTATTCGCTCTGGCTTTCTCATCAACTGCTTCCACTGCTCGTCCGTGAACCTGACGTCTTTATCACTAACTATGGTCTGTTATTTTTTACCCAATCCGCGGACTACTCGGGAATGACAAGACGTGTCTTTTTTTAGCAGTTAACTGGATGAATTCAACGTACTTGCTGAAACGGTCGACTACTTCCATCACGTGACTTACTTTTCCCTCGTCTACTCCTCGTTTGTGTTCGTGAAGTCGGATTCTTACTGCGCCAGTGCGCCGACATATTCTTTTTTTTTTTTTTTTTTTT